ACTTTTTAATAAACAGTGACCGCCGATTAAGTTATAAGGAAAAGTTACTCAGGGTCATGTCCTTGACAACATATGTCAAGGTCAAGGTCATCGGCGAGGTGTCCGTTAATGTAAATAATTACCATTATATTATACTATAGTGCAGCCAGTTCAGTTATAAAGAACAAATCTATTAATATTGCATATTGCAGCTTTGATGTGATCAAAGAAATTAAGTCAGAGCCCGAGCAGCAAAAGGAAAAGCATAGCAGAGACTTACTGGCAATATTGGCCCACCAATTCAATTAAAAGATTCAGATTTACGAATATTATCTATTATTGGTGGCGAATCTTCTGTTGGTTTACCTGTAATAGAAGTGGGCGTTAGGAAGCAAGTTAAAGTTTGTTGTTTTTTTATATAAACTATTACAAAATAGTGCGATAGGGAAGTTTCAGGACTGATGTTATAAAAACCGTACAAGGTACTATCTGAACGCCGCCAACGGTAACATTTAGTGCAAAGCCTTGTGAATGAACGCTGCAAGTCTCGTTAGTATTCATTTCGGTGTCGCCGAGCTAGAACTTTTCGCGTGTGGCGTGTTTGTATCGGTTGTCGTGGAAACGCATATCGAGCAGAGAGCGGCGATCAAGTTTTGTTTTAAATGTGGCAAAACGGCTACCGAAACGTTCGAAATGTTGAAACAAATTGCTCGAGTTCGTCCGCATTTCCATGCGACGAAGGATTGGTTCTTGTTGCACGACAACGCACCGGCGCACAATGCGGGAACGGTGTGAAAATTTTTGATGAAGAAAAATGTTGTAGTGCTCAACCACTCTCCGTACTCCCCGGATTTAGCCTCTGCCAATTATTTCCTCTTTCCCAAGTTGAAATTGAAGTTGAAAGGACGTCGTTTTGAAGATGTTGGAACGATTCAAGCAAACGTGACACGTGAACTCTACAGCATTCTGCAAGCGGACTTCGAACACGCCCTAAAGAGGTTGGCCTATCGCTCTCAGCGCTGTATCGACGTAGGAGGAGTGTATATTGAATAATAAATCGTTATAACCGTTATATTGAATAATAAATCTTTATATATCCGATACCTTATACCATTTTTATAGCATCAGTCCTGAAACTTTCCTGTCGCACCGTGTATATGATACGCTATATATATGTTTTTCATTATTGGCATTAACTTTCATAGGATATTATAGATCCATCATTAGTATTAGGATTAACAAATAATAATACTACAAAGGAAAAAATTGTTGCTTATGCCGATATTATTTGTTATGAAGAAGAAAATGTAAGTTCCATATTTAAAAAAAAAATTTGTTCAATATGATTAATATTTTATAATTTCTTATTAAACTATATTTTCCTCTATTTAGGCAATAATAACAACTAAAAAAACGTAAATATGACGGATGATTCAATTTTATTAGAAAGTTCTTTTTTTAGAAGATTTTTTTCAGTTAAATTGTGATGATAATCAATCCTATACTTCTACCGATATTGCAATTTCATCCCAGTACATTGATGACTCTTCTACTAGTAATAGATTTACTACTACAACATCACTAAACACAGTTTCGAGACGATTGGCAACAAATACATCAAAGTCAGATGGATTTAATAATAAGCATAATATATTAATAACATAAATACTTTAATACTTTAATACTTAAATATAATAATATATATTAGTATATGTTACGTAATTAACAAAATTGTCATTGTTATAGGTAAACGTCCGAGAAACTCTGACTTGGAAAAAACAATAAATTATTTTAAAGAGACACAAAATGAACAGAATGAAAGTTCGCAGGTATGTAATTTATTTTCTTTTTTATACACTATCTTTTCTTATACATGTATATGTATATGCTACTTAAAATTTCAAAAATGTTTATTATCACGATAGTAATATATATTAACTAAAAGATCTAATTGTTTGATTTAGTGATTTGTAAGTAAATCTCTTATATCTTTTCATAGGCAATTGCTGAAAATTTAAACCGTATTGCTTCTGCGATAAAAGAGCAAAATGAATTACTCGAAAGATCTTTAGCCTTGCATGAACGAACATTACAGATTTTGGCTGGAAGTATAAAAGATCTAACTAGAAAAATGTAATATTTGATAAGTAGTATAATTACGTTGTATACTTAGTAAAGTATATTTACTCGTAGTATACTTTCCCAGTAAGCAAAATGTTAGCAGTCTGCCAGCAGTTTGCGAGCAGATTCAAGCAGAATATTGCAGCAGATTGGCATCAACTGCTGCAATATCCGCATTAAGCTTGTGTTCTGTCGGCAGAACCTGTCGACATAAGCTGACAGCAAATTGACGGCAGAAATCGAGCAGAATCTGCGCGACGCCTTAAATACCAGAATGGCGGCAGAAACCGAGCAGGATCTGCGCAACGCAGTTTGGGCTGCGTTCGGAAACATCACCCGTGTGCACACAAGTGTCGTTCTATCTTTGTTATTTACTAAAAGTTGAACAAAGATAGAACGATACTCGGGTGCTGTTTCCGAACGTACCGTTGATGTCAGATTAGTGGCAGAAATCGAGCAGGATCTGTCGTCATAATTTAAATGGAATAACGGGCATTTAAATGCTTCATTAATTTACATTGCACGTTTTGCTTAAAAAATAATAAATGAGATATACAATGTATGTATTATATCTTTGTTTTATTGAGACAAAAAATGTTAAATTTTGGTCACAAAATGACCAGTTAGACATTCTAAATTAGGTCTCATAAGACTCGAAAATGACATCAATATCAATCAATTGATATGTCACATTCACGGGACGTCATTTGCTGACGTTTGTATTAATAACATATAAATATATAATATTAATAACATATATTAATGTAATATATATAGAAAAATTTAAATAATCTTGTGCGGTTCCTGCCGCCAATCTGGCATCAAACTGCATTGCGCAGATCCTGCTTGGTTTCTGCTGCCAATCTGCTATGATAATTTTGTGCAAATCCTGCTCGGTTTCTGCTACTGATCTGCTGTCAAATTATGTCAGCAGGTTCTGTAATATTTCTGTTGACATTCTGCTATCATTATCTGATATAACAGACTTTGTATACAATCTACAGTCTTTCTGCTGACAAAAATTTGTAGTAGATGTTTGGTAAAATCTGTTCGAACAGACTTTGCTGACTGGGTTATCTCTTGTTCCTTAATTTCAGTTTATTTTTTGTTTTTGCAATATATTTTCTCTTCTTATTGTATTACAAAGTATTAATTTTATTTTCCAAAAGATTATATATACAAATGTGTATTTAAATACATGATATATATACATATATAATAAAGTTTTTATATTTGTGATCAATTGTCTTCTTTATTCTTCTTGATGTAAGCCAAACTGTGTTCGAAGAATTCTTCTCTGTATTCTTTTTGCCTCTGTCAATCTGTCACCTAGATTAAAATGTGCTTCATCTGTTCCAACTATTTCTTCGAGTTGTACTCTAATACGATCACAAAAATTCTCTGGAAATCTAGCTTTTTGCAAAGCTGCGGCTTCACTTTTTTCATCAATATCAATTTCTCTATCCATAAGATTATAAGTGTTATCCATATATCCATGTCCATTAAATAGCTACCAAAAATATTTATTAGATACCCAGATAGCCAAGAATGTTAAAATCACGTTTTGCCAAAGCTTTGCTTTGGCAAAATAGGAAAAGGCTTGCCCGTAAATTTTACGCATAGAAGAACACGTATGATGCTAATTCACGGTGTAACACCAACTTTACGCCAATTATATAGTAGCAAATCTTGTTATACATGCTATAATAGCAAATTTACGACAAAAACAGAGCAAACCTTGTTATCCATATATCCATGTTTACCAAATAGCTACCAAAGATATTTATTAGAGATCCACGTGTTATCTACATATTTATCTCCATAAAATGTTTACCGGAGATATTTTATATGAACATCTATATATTAATTAGAAATTCACATCTGAATAGTTATTTGAATCATTATTATACATAATTAATTAATTAATGTTATATACAAATACTCACAAACTGAACTGCTTCTATATACTTGATGGCTATAGTTAACTATTGATTTCATATTTAGTTTTTATTTTTTATTTTTTAGGGTTTTTTTTTATTTTTTAGCGTATATATACTTTGATAATCTAAATAAAGACAAGGTAAGATCCCAGATAGCCAAGTCTGTTCGAACAGATTTTGCCAAACGTCTGCTACAAATTTTTGTCAGCAGAAAGATTCCAGATTGTATACAAAGTCTGTTATATCAAATAATAATAGCAGAATGTCAGCAGAAATGTTACAAAACCTGCTGACATAATTTGACAGCAGATCAGTAGCAGAAACCGAGCAGGATTTGCATAGAATTATTATAGCAGATAGCCAGCAAAAACCGAGCAGGATCTGCACAACGCAATTTGATGTCAAATTGATAGCAGAAATCAAGCAGGATCTGCGCGCCCGCAATCTGACGGCAGATTGGTAGCAGAAATCGAGCAGGATCTGCTAACATGACTTGACATCAGATTGTCGGCAGAAATCGAGCAAGATCTGCGTGCGCGCAATCTGATGGTAAATTGGCAGTAGAAATCAAACAGAATCTGTCAGAAAATGAATACAAACGTCAGAAAATGACATCTCGTGAAAGTGACATATCAACTATTGACGTCATTTTTTAATCTTATGAGATCTAACTTTAGGACGTCTATTTGATTATTTTGTGACCAAAATTTACTGTCATTTTGCTACTTGGAATCGAGACCTTTTAAATGTTTAAATCCATTTAAATGTACCATTTTATATAAATGTCTAGAAACTGCTCGATTTCTGCTGTCAATCTGCCGTCAGAATATATATAAATAATTTAATATACTTATATTAATCTCAATTAATCGCGCGCCACATTTTCAAAATGATTCGCCAGCAATCTGCATATGTATAAATGAAACAACTTTAGTCGATTCCGAGAGAGACCACTAGTGCAGTTTTCTGCAAGGCAATATGTCTATCTCGTGGGATAAGAAAGCGTGTCAATTATTAGTGCTTCAATTTTTTGGCGATCACAAGCGGTCGAATGGCATCCACGTCAAGCTAGCCGCGCGAAATTAATCCTTTTGGTAGAAAATGAGCTTCTCCGTGAAGAAGACTGGCGGTAGAATGTGGCACGAGGCACGCAAGCAGGAGAAAAAGATCCGTGGCATGCTGGTCGATTATCGTCGTAGAGCGGAACGTAGACGGGACTACTATGAGAAAATTGTAAGGATCGCGAAAGATACATTTTCGATGTGTATAATAAGTTGCTTCGTATAATTTAGGCAGTCAAAAAAGAACTGTGTATTAAGTTATTTTTATGGAAAATACCTATTTCCACTCTACGTAGTCTTAACTTTCTATACACTAGAATAGCCCATTAAATTTTTTTTTTTTTGTGTCCTCTCTTTCTGTCTCTGTTTCTCTCTCTCTCTGCTTTTATCTTTTATATTTAAAATTGAATTAACAAGAAAATATCGTTCTGATTATAATCCAATATGTTATAATCGAATATTTTTGTTTAGAAATCAGATCCTACGCAATTTCTCCAACTACATGGCAGGCCATGCAAGATATATTTGGATCCGGCAATAGCTGCTGCAGGTGCTAGTCCTGCAAACATGTAAGTGTTGTGATCAAGCACTGCAGCATAATTGACTCATTAATCAAATGAGGAAAGTTTATTTTATTGATAGGATGCCATGGCAGAACAATGATGACAATCTCATAGATCGTTTTGACGTACGGGCACATCTTGATTGGATACCGGAAGCACCTGATACCATTGACGTTGATATTGCTTTGACAAGTGAAGATAGACATATCAATTATGAACGTTATCGTATAATTGTACAAAATGAGTTTCTAGGTGGTACGTTGCTTGTCTTCTTCGTTATACAAGATTTTCTGATAGTTTTTCTTGTATTTTTAACTAAACATCTTTCTATTTAGTGACTGAGGAAAAGTTTCTGCATCAGATACATTTGGAAGAACAATTTGGTTCATCTACAAAATTGGATACTGCAAAGGATAAGAAAAAATCTGCTAATAATGCTGCGATTGGGTATAATTACGAAACGGAAGAACCGATACCCGAGCCAGTAAAATCGGGGGATCCAGTAATATCAGAAGAAAAGGGAGATGATGAAGATAGCGATATAGATTTAGGTATAATTATTTTATCTTATGCGATATTTAATGTATTTTGAAACAATATCAGAAGAACATAACATTTTTTAATATGACATTGTTTTTTATTAGATATATGTGTGGACGTATCTCAAATAGAACCGTCTCAAGCACATGAGATGAATCTGGTAGCTCAAAAATATGGACTTTTAGGTGCTGATTACTTTAGCTTTTTAACACAAGATTTTGAAGAAGCTGAAACTTTGCGACAAGCTCGAAAACAGGAGGAGGAGAAAGCTATGTACTCGGTAAATGATTATTAATTGTAAATAGTTATATTAATTTAAAACAAGATGAAAATTGTGCAAATTGGAAACTTGCACATTGTTTTCTCATCATTTTATTTTGCTCACAAAGCTTAAATTCCTTAAAGTAAGCGAGTTTTTCAATTTTGACTTCCTCATAGAGGAACATATCTCCAAATTTGCAAAAGTTAGTGTGTACATTTTTCAAAAAATTCAAAATTTTATCAAAAATGAACCCTTTCACCGATCCTTACCAAATTCAATACCAACCATCCTTTAATGATACTCTATTCATGCAAAAAAATTTAATCCGATATCTAAAAATTTGCACAAATTAGAGCGTGTACAAACATTTCTCAAAAAATTCAAAATTTTATAAAAAATGAATCCTTTTATCGATTCTTACCAAATTCAATACCAACCATCCTTTAATGATACTCTATTCATTTTAAAAAATTTAGCCCGATATTTCAAAAATTGCGGAAATTAGAGGTTGTACAATGTACATTCCGTACATACATACATACAGATATTTTTAAAAAATATGATTTTTCGACGTTTTGGAACATGGGCATAGAAAACTGAAAAAAAAATTTTGTCACAAAAACAAAGCTTCTTCTACAAGGAAGCAAAAATATTGGTCGCGTTCGGCAGAGAAGACGTTCGGTTATCGTCTTGTTAACACTCGACGTTGATTTGTTGGTTCTAAAAGTAAGAGCCAATCACGTTTGATTGCTACTGAGCGGTTTTCTCTGCTGAACGTGCCCATTAATATATAATATGATGTAATTAATATTTAAAATATTCTGACATAAAACTATATATATATCTATTTTTATTTTAAATAGGGTCGGCGATCGCGTAGAGAACGGCGTGCATTTAGAGAGAAAAAAATGATAGGTCGCGTTATGAGTCCTCCTAGGTAATAATTTATTATATTTTCTCGAATCAATTTTACATGTTATTGTATTATATAAATCTTTCTTCAGTTATGCAGCTAGAGAGAGTCCAGAGTATAATCCTTATAGAAAATCCTCTTCTAAATCACGATCGCGATCCGCGTCGCCTGTAAATACCGGACAGATTACTTATATCACGAGCTTCGGTGGGGAGGAAGAGACTCATGGTAGCACATCACATTTGTCTTCGTCGAATTCGAGAAAAGTCAATTATTCGTATCTCAGACGACGGAGATCGGATAGTCCTGCTTTTAACGAGAAAACCGTTACTAGAAAAATATCCAAATCTAGATCAAGAAGTTGTTCACGCTCCATTAGTAGAACTAAGTCTTATAGGGCACATGATAAAAAGCGAAGTGGATCCAGAATAAGTTCTAGGTAAGTGTTGCAAGAGAATAAGAAAATCACTAACGTATGGATAACTTTAAAAAAATTGAATAAATATGTTTTGTAATCTGTTATATATTTAATTTTTTCAATTTGTTCTTATATTTTAGATCTAGAGGTACGCGTTCGAGAGTTCGAAAGTACACAAGATCCCGAACAAGAAGTCATTCTAGACGATCACGAACGCGAAGCAAATCACGCTCGCGCTGCAAAAGTATCAGTAGATCTCGATCGCGTTCAATTTCTCGATCGAAGACGAGGTCTAGATCCCGTTCGCGTGTGAAGAAGAGGAGCTCGTCCTCGAGCAGTGTGTCCAAGTCAAGATCGAGGTCTAAATCACGTAATAGAAGCCGTTCAAGGGACAGTTACCGAAAGAAACGCTATTCGCCGTCAAAATCGAGATCCAAATCTCGTTCGAGATCAAAATCTCCATCAAGATCTAGGTCACGGTCGAAGAGTCAATCTAGCTGTAAACGATCGCGCAGCGACGATAATAAGATACCAGCACTGCCAAGGTAAAAATGTTATGCAGATTTCGCCGAGCGTTAATGTAAACTCTATACAAAACTGTTTTGTTTTTCTTTTTTATGTAGGTATTATGGTCGTCGCGGAAAATCGTCAAGCCTCGAATTAGAGCTGTCTGATAATGAAGAAAAATCCAATTCAACAACATCGAAGACATCGATTAATACAAGCATGTAAGCAACAAACGCAATTTTGATTTGTAATATATTTGAAATTATTGTACATGAATTTTTTAAATCTTTTTCGAATATTTTAGGAACAAGCCAAAAGCAGGGTTAAGTACAAATTCTGGTGTCGGACACAAAGTCAGTAAGAACCATAACGCTTTCTTAGTCACTTAACGCGCAGAGAATAAAGACAGAACATACTCTATATAAGTACCATCTAAACGGGGAGGCTCAACAAAGCGCTTCTCGTTTTCGTTGTTGTATTATGTAATTGACGTGTCGACGTCGTATACTTTACATTTTTATTCGATATTTTATTTTTAATATACTTTAGAATATATTAACATATTTTGTTAGAGAGCCACAAAGAAATTGAAATTTCCATATGAATTGTTATGATACGCACAAATGTTATTCTAAAATATCACCCGACGAACTTAAATTCAATTATAGTGTTGTACACAATGCGATTTTTTTTTTTTTTTTTTTTTAATTTGCTTATAGCTGCATTTTATTAGTCATTCAATAGAGGAAATAATAAATTTTTTGTATATGTTCAATTATGTTCTAGAACTGATAATATAATATATGTTATATGTATACAAATTGATTTATATATATATAGCGGACTAGACTTTTAAATTACGCCAAAAAGACCAATACCTAGTTATAGACCTTTAAGAGTTTTAATCTTTCAGTCATTGAAAACCACACCTCAGGAGCGGCTTAAAAAGAAAATGCAGGCCTTGTTAAACAGGCAATGTTAGTTGATACGCAGTAAAAAGAAACCTATTATGCATTATCAATGGAAACTAAAGATGTATCTTTCTAGACAAAGCAGACAAGAAAGCCGAACAATTGAGAATCGAAAAGATGGAGCAACAGCGACAAGATCGAGAAGATGAGATACGAGAAATGTCTTTGAAACTTCGTAGAAAGTAAATAATTTTTCCACATATTTTTTATGTGATATGAAGATACATTCATTTGAATAGTGATATTGATTTCGTTTCATCTTCCACAGACAGAGAGAGCGAAGACATCGTTACGAAGGCCACAGTTCTGATACGCGTTCTTCTGTGTCTCGTACACCGAGCCCGAGCCGTAGTCCAAGGCATCACGTACGTCGTGAGAGGCGTGACGTGGACAATGATCGTGAACGGGAGCGGGACAGAGAGAGAGATCGGCGCGATGATCGCGATCGGAGTCGAACTGAATCACGTAGAAAATACAGAGATTCGCCGCTTCGTTCGCTGAGTCCGAGGAGCAGTCGGTAAAAATCTCCTCTGGATTTTGATTAATCAAGCTTAAGCTTGAATTGCACCGAGAATACGCGAATGCTGTGTATATATGTTAGTCGATTGTGTTTCCATTGATTATATAGCACATACGTTATATAGTCACATAACATGGATAGAAAATTATTTAACCATAAATCAATGTTTATTTATTCAATTGCATCGATGCCATTGCATCTGGATACAATAAAGTAAGTTTGTATACTGCTAATTATGCTATTTTGCATTATTTCAGAGGCCTAGTCGACTACTGACTTCAGGATACAACAGAATACTGTTAATCTTCCATCCAAATAATTTGAAACATTACGAATATTTCCTGTACAACTGCATTCCTTTCTTGGGCCATCGTTGATTGCTTAAAAATTCGTGTCATGAAGAAAAGGTGTATGAAATAATATATCATACATAAGACGAATTGTTCTAAAACGTGCGTCATATGAATTATAGTGTGACTTAATCCACTTTACGATATATATATATATATATATAAAAGCAACTGGAAGAATAATTATATATAATTTATGCATATTTGCTTATATAAGAATTAGAGAAACCAATGTAAAAATAATTGACATTATTCTTACGTTGTGTGTTAGTGAAAGATATATAAAAATAATTAATGTTATTGCAAGGAAATCATGTTTATAATTCTTATTTCACATGAACAAAGCAAGAGTGGACGGATTAACAATATGGATTCTTATATCGAAAATATACCATCGTATTTTAGAATTGAATGCACTTTGCTATCTTATTATATAGGTACATTATTGTTAGATAATTATTGAACAATAAAGACACCCGTTACTCAGCAGGAGACAAATAGTGATTATTTTCCATGCAACCACTTACATAAGTGTTTACTATTTATATTAATAATTTTACATTACCTTATGTAAGTTACATAAGTGTTTTCTACTTATTAATTTTACATTACTAAGATAACAACTAACCTAAGATTGCTTTAGTGCGCATAGTGTAATTGAGAGATTGGAAGGTTTGTTTTTGCATTTGCAAAAAAAGAAATCTTAAACTTATGGCACATAGTACAATTTTTCGTACAAGAAAGTGAATTACAAGAATTACATCATTTATCATTTTATTATGCACTGATCATGCTTTATGAAACAGCATAAATCATTTATTATACATATATATATGTATATGTCCATAAAGAATTAATATGTTACATACATAGGTTTCCTTATATCCATAAGTCGCTTTTAGGGTTTTATCTTGCTTTTTTATATATGTGTATGTATTTCATATCATTGCATCCACGGTTATCTTGTTATCTCTGATTTTTTCAGTTGAGAGTGGATGAAGGATTGGTTACCTATTTGTCAAAAAGCTATTGAAAATATAACAAACAATGACGCTAATACGATTTGCAATTTTAACTGGTATGTACTATACACTATATACACTTTATATTAAAATAAAATCTATTTTAATGAAGAATTATACAATGTTTAACTATATATGTTTAACGTACATATTTTTAAGGTTACATATGACATTATTTTTATTAATAATCTTCTAATAGAAATACAAATGACTATTCTTCTCGTTTATTTTATAGAATTATCTATTGGTTATTTGTAAATGTCAAATCACGTTGCAAATATATTTAATGTATATATATATATATATATATATATANNNTATGGTTCTTATATATATTACATATTTCTTCAAAAAAATTTCTAAAATATGTGTATATATTATTCTCTTATAATTATTTAGTAAGCGATACCTGTGCAAGTGGTGAGAAAGTAGACGAAAGTGGTCTTAGATTGAAAGCACTTATCAACGATACAGATTTGATAGGAAATGTACTTAAAGGAGAAGTTTCTTGTACCACAATTGTGCCAGATGAGGAAGCATTAATAATGGTAGCTACATAGATATACTTTATATACTTTATTTTATATAGTATATTGATATTTTAATTTATTATATTTGCACAATGCAGAAATATTTAATTGATTGGAGTGATGGAAATAAAGCCAATGTTATTCTCACTACTGGTGGCACTGGATTTTCTAAGAGAGATGTTACACCTGAGGCCACTAAAAAAATTATACATAAAGAAGTTCCCGGAATGTCTTTAGCAATGTTCATGTCAAGTTTCAAAATAACACCAATGGCTATGCTTTCTCGGTAAAGCTACTTCTATTAAGCTACTTCAATTTGCTTTGTATCTTTAAAATTACGTAATTTTTAAATTTTTCATGTATTTTCAGAGCTGTATGCGGAATAAGAAATAAAACACTGATCATTAATTTGCCTGGCTCAAGTAAAGCTGCAACGGAATGCTTGAATGCAATTGCACCTGCGATACCACATGCAGTAGATTTGATCTTAGATAACAAAACCAAAATTAAAGATACACATAACATTGTCCAACATAATATTACATCTTGTTTACATGATAAGTCTTGCACAAATCTGGTAAGATACTTTTATTATAAACAATAACTATTATAAGATACCACATGTGATCTTAGATAACAAAACCAAAATTAAAGATACACATAACATTGTCCAACATAATATTACATCTTGTTTACATGATAAGCATGATAAGAATCTGGTAAGATACTTTTATTATAAACAATAACTATTATATATAT